TGGTTATTATTCCATAAAACAAAACCGAAAAAATCAAAAAATACTGAGCGCTATTTTTTATCTGGAATAATGTACTGTTCATGACTTCTTTGTCAACCATTTTCTTCCATCCACTCTTGAATGTAGGTCTCTCCCAAATGTTCCATCTTTCTCTATCTTGCGCCAATCTAACTCACTGTTGCCTGCCACTGCTCTTATGTCATCTACCACTTCTTTCGAGGTCTTGCCATGCTTCTTGTTTTCCTTCCTTGGTTTTCCATTCTAGAACTCTGTGTCCACCTGTTGCCATTATATCAGCTACGTGACCTGCCGAGCGCCATTTCATTTTGTAATTTCTTCCACTATATCAAATCTCTCGTTCACGTCTATATCTCGGTGTTTATAATCTTGTCTGTCAGTGATATTCCAAGCATGATCGTTCCACTGCTCTTTGCGTGCTTCTAATTTCTTATCAGATTTTTTGGTAAAGGAGCTGCTGTCTGCCAATTCGTAAAACAAACGGTAGTATGCATGTGTTACACACCTTTTTCTTTAAGTTTACAGAATGGAGATGTTTTTTAAAATATATGCTAGTTTGCCGAAAGCGACCCATGCCAGTTGTGTTTTCTTTTAATTCGCAGCATTTTGATTTGGTTTTCATAGTTTAATAACATGAACCTAGATATTTATGTTCAACATTTTTCTATGGTATCGATTTTGTATTGTTATATTTGTCTGGTCTCGGCTCAGTATTTTTGTTTTGCTGTAGTTTCATTTTTAAGCCTTCCGCTCATGAAACTGCATTTAATTGTTGTAACATATCATTTAGTTCTTGGATATTATCGCTATTAAAACTATTGTCATCTGCGAATCTCAAGTGGTTTAAGTATGATCTGTCGATGTTGATACCTTATTGTTCATTCTAGTTTCTTAAAAATCTTCTAGAGCAAGGGTAACTAGTTTTGGTGAGAGATGGTCCTCCTTGTCTTACCCTCGTGTAGTCTTATGAGATTAGTTTTTTGTGCTTTCGTCCAGCTTTGTCTGCATGTGGCGTTTTCATTTATTTAGTGTAATCTTGAGAATATATACTGCATTTTCTAGAGATTCAAGCACTGCCCATAATTCGATGGAACCGAATGCCTTATGGAAAATCGAGAAACGCCATATAAATTGGAACATTAAACTCGGTGCATTTTTCTATCAGTGTTCTTACCAGTGCAAGTGCTCTATGGTATTAAAATGTTTTCCTGAATCCAGCCTGCTAGATAGGTTTGACAGAAATCGAGCTTAGTGTTGTTGTTATGATTTTAGTTAGTAACTTATGACAGATGTGATAGGTCGGTAATTCTCTATGTTTGCTTTGTCTCCCAATTTGAATTAGTAAAAATGACTTCGGAGTTGTACCATTCTTGAGGAATCTTTCCTTCATCATTAATACCTGTTCCATTTTCTGACACCAATTTTCACAACTTTACACTGTATAATGTATAAACCTCTCCTCCGGACATTTATTATCGTTTTTTATAGTTGAGTTTAGGCCATTCTTATTTCATAGTCGTTATGTGCGGTATTTCTTCTGAGCTGGTGTTAATTATTGTTAGTTGATGGAATTCGACCGTTATACTTGATGAAAATCATTTTATGTAACAATAAAAAACTGAAAACTTTGTTTTCAAACTTCCACAAAATTTTTTTAAAATATTATCACTACAGCTGTTTCGGCTGATTGCCTTTCTCAAGTGATCTATTTTGGCTTGGGTTTACAAATTTATAGTCTCTAATGAAATAGGTTGAGGAGGGGAGAACTGTTTGTCTCAAGTTGGTCATTCAGAATTATATCTGTGTTTTTAATTTGTTGATTTCCATAGATTCTAACAAAGATAGCTTAAGGCCTTTATTTTGAATGTGAAGAATTTTAAATTTGTCATTAAAAGAATGATTATGATCTAGAAGGTGAAGTGCGTATGTCGAATCTGTTTTTCTATTCTTGAAAGCCCTTTTATGTTCTGCTATCGTTTATCAAAGTTTCTACCAGTTTGACCGATGTAAGTTTTAGGCAGTCGCCACATTGAAGTTTGTACACACCACTATTTAAGTGTTTTTTATTTTGGCTTTTGTTATTTTTAATATATTTGCCTAGGTTGTTATTTGTATCGGAAAGCTGGTGTTATTCCTTCTTTTTTATGTGTTTGAATTTTTTTGTTATTTTGCCTTTATTAATCGGCAGAGGTACTATAAAATGTTAAATCAAGAAATATACAAGAACCTGAAATTAGTATTTTCCACCCCAGAGAAAAAACAGTACCTTCTGCTCGATTACATATACAGGCAAAATAACAACAAAAATTGCCAAACACATAAAAAAGAAAGAAATACACCAGCTTCCGAACAAATAACAACCTAGCAAATATATTAAAAATAACAAAGCCAAAATAAAAAACACTTAAATAGTGGTGTGTACAAACTTCAATGTGGCGACTGCCTAAAAACTTACATCGGTCAAACTGGTAGAAACTTTGATAAACGAATAGCAGAACATAAAAGGGCTTTCAAGAATAGAAAAACAGATTCGACATACGCACTTCACCTTCTAGATCATAATCATTCTTTTAATGACAATTTAAAATTCTTCACATTCAAAATAAAGGCCTTAAGCTATCTTTGTTAGAATCTATGGAAATCAACAAATTAAAAAACACAGATATAATTCTGAATGACCAACTTGAGACAAACAGTTCTCCCCTCCTCAACCTATTTCATTAGAGACTATAAATTTGTAAACCCAAGCCAAAAATAGATCACTTGAGAAAGGCAATCAGCCGAAACAGCTGTAGTGATAAATTTTAAAATAAATTTTGTGGAAGTTTGAAAACAAAGTTTTCAGTTTTTTATTGTTACATTAATTATTGTTCGTTCAGTAGTCGTTGTTGTGGTTGTGTATTTTAACGAGTATAATTTAGTGGAGAATTTTTCAATGGTCTCGCTTATTTCCTTTCTGGTCTCGGAAGTGACGATTTCTCCATTTTTAATTTCTATGATTTTTGTTGTGTCGCTGGAGTTTTTTGCTTTGAGTACTTTCTATATTGCTGTTATCTTGTATTATATTTTTTATTAGATTGTTAGTATAGTTTCTATGATCGTTCCTAATTTCTTTCTTCACGTTTTTGTTTAAACTTTTGAAGTCTGTCCGAAGTTCGATCTGTTTTGTTTCGTCTTTCTTGAGATATTTTAATTGGATTAGGTTGGAGTTTAGATGTTTTTGGCTGTTTTCGTGTTTGAGCATATTTTCTTAACCGATGTTGTTACAGTTACTTTATTTTATTGGCTATGTCCGTTTATTTCATTTGTTTTACAAGTGTCTCTATTTATTTTAGTTCTTTGTGCTTAGATCTTTTTGGTATTCCGTTTGTTTTTGAAACATGGTATCGGTGTGTGGTGGTATCGTTCTCCGTTTAATAAGTTTGTTTCGTTCTACTCTCATCTTATTTTATATTGGCTCTAACCAATCTGTGGACACTTCCGGTATAGAGAATTTGTTTAGTACCGTCACAGTCGGTGCATATGTTTTTGTTATTGGATAGTATGTAGTCTCATTTCGTTCTTAGTTTTCCTTGTCTGGGCTAATCCATGTCCATTTACGTTCGTTTAGATTTTTTTAAAGAAAGTGTTGAGACAAAATAAATTGTTCGTTGTTTTAAGTAGATGTACAATCATCTCACCCCTTTCGTTTTCTGTTGTCCAGCCCCAAAGCGACGATATATTGTGTGTCGCGCCTCTTCTTTTGTTCCAATTTTTGCATTAAAAATCTCCTGTGATTATACGAAGTGGTTTTTCCGGTTCCTTGCATTGTACAGATTCCGAAAACAGTCAAATTCCTCGTCTGTTGAGTTTCCTGTCAGTGCATATCCATGTATTATCTTGTAAGCTGTATCTGCTGTTCAAACGTGACAAGATATATGACTCTTAGTTTGATACTGCACAGACTTCGTTATATTATAGGGAGTTCTCCGCTTGTTTTTACAGGAATGCTAGAAACGTTTTTTTGCCGGTGACAATTTATAAGATGGTACATGCTTACTGCTAGTAGGGAGTTTCCGCTCAGTCCAATTATATCCATTTAATATTGAGAGCTCTTGTTCTAGTTCGTCAAGGTGTTCCTTGGGTCCTCATAGTTCCTTATATTATAAAGTGGCTATACGAAGCAACGATGGGTAGCTTTTCTTGTTAGATTCAGTCGAATATTTGCCTCCCCTAGAATCCATGAGGCTGACTGATTGCTCAGTGTGAGATTCTGAGTGTATAACTCTACTCACCTGGGGTACATTTCGTATTGATACTAGACATCTTCAACTTGGGAAGTTTTTAGCATATTTAAAACTGCCACGCTTGCCGACCGGTTGGCGAGTGATATATAAAATCCCTAAAACAGGGGATTGCCCACTGATCCACGCACAAGGTACTGGATGTCTCCTGCCATCCGTGTGCATAAGCTAAGCAGTACAGTTTCCCTGGTCAAGAAAAATTTGCGGAGGGCAGGGATTTGCTTCATTTTCCTTGATAGAAGGACTATCCAGAGAGTTCCCTACCTGCTACATTTAAAGCAAAAAAGAGGGACTATTTGCATTTATTTCAATATTGTGAAAAAATTACGCATTCTAGATAAAAATGTTCAACATACAACTACAGGCCTGACGGAAGAGACAATTTTAACCTAGGGATGAGTCATATTAGACCTCTTACGTAGTTAAGCACCCACTTATATTGAACATACCTTAATCAAAAAAATTTATTAAGAAATGTTGTACCCCACTTTTATTACGAACATTATGGTACCAAAATTTGCTCGATAGCCAAAGAATTAATAGCCTTTTTGGGGTTTCCGCGCCGCTCGCCTAATAAGTTGATTTTGATTTCTCCTGGTTACAATACGTTGTCTACGTTAAAATGCTTTGTAAACATCTTGGAAGTTCTATTTATAGTATCATAAATAATTTTTTGTAATTAACACAATATATTACCCATGAAAATAATAACAACAACTGTTAAACATCAATTTTGTACTTTATAAATGAAGAAATCAAGTATATCTAGTATATTTATATCTTTCAGATCTTCTACTAGTTGTTGGCAAACTGGCTTTGCTATTTTGTTACATTCCTCCAAAGATTCAAAATTGTTCATTGTGGGAAAGCAACCTCCGTAGTCAGTCAATACACAAGATTGAGTTTTCATGTCCCAGCGCCATACATAAAACAAAGCCAGGCACCTAATGTTAGCTCGGGCGTCCTCAACATCTCTAAAGCAATCTACAACAAAATAATTTTTAACAGAATTTAATTGTTTTAGACATTTATTTTAAATTAGTTGAATAAATGTTAAATAATATGTTTTAATTAATTAACTATATAATTATAACTAGAACATGAAACATGCATTTAGTCTCTAAAAGTTAATCTTTATCCGGTCAATGGACTTTTTTGACTTTGTATTTTTTTTATTTTACATATCCTAAACCTGGTATTTTTCCCAATCTTATGTAATAATAACGGTAATAACGCTTATACTCTCCGCTGACTAAAAGATGATATGGGTTTAAGATATAGTTATTTTCTACAGCTAGAGCGTGCTATTAATTAAGAAGTTCTTTTGGCCACAATCAATCCTTAAAAAATTGTCAATCTGTTATACCTCAGGTGGCTAAGCTTACATATATAAATAATATGAGTATAGAAATATATATAAATATTATTAATATGTATAAAAATATATATTAATAATATATATATATCTATAGAAATATATAGAATATAATTATAAAATCTATATAAATATATAAATATCGGGGGATCACTCAGGACAAGGAGGTTGGTGATCTCTATATCGGTTCCGCTATGTGACGAAATAAAAGACAAAGTTGATAGGCTACTTTTAATCTATTTTGAAGACGTTTCGGCTGTCGCGTTTTGAAAGCATCATCAGCATTCATCGCATCAAAAAAGTAGTACAATATGAGAACCACACAATCATGGGAAACGATGTTAATTGTAACCGTTACAAACAGACATATAGCAGTCAATGTTATTAAACAAAATGTGAATGAAACATAATGTAAATGAGACAATACAATACGCTGATCTTGTATAAACAATTAAGTAACTAACAACATATATGAATTTTCTTATAAAAAATTAGCCACGCAGCAAATGACCCATGGAGTCTAAAGTAAATTAAACGTATAACATGTTAATAGTGTGAGCAAGAACTAAGAAGAATCATAGATTAAACTTCCAACTAGCTTTTATGATTAATTAAGCTTTGATTTTAAACTTTAGGTCTGCAATATAATAGTGATAATTACTAATAAAATTAAAAAAGTAGAATAAATGAAGTATACCGATCAAGGCCGCTACCAGAGTCGGCCGGAAAAATGGCGTAATAGCTGAACCGCAACGAACTAAACCGCGAAAAGACCGCCACACCTTGAGGTCAAAAATACTTTTGACAGAACAGCAAGGAGGAGGGATCCAACCCAAATGAATTGGGTCGGTCAATTTAAAAAACGTTTAAAATGAGTTTCGGATGACTACCCGGTTGTAGCAAGACAAAACAGTGAACGAAATTGTTATTGTAAAAAGCAACGTCCCTCCACTAAACCAGCCAAGAATTTACAAAACAGGAGAGTTTCATTCAAATAAGGTTGAATCCTTAATATATAACTTTAATATTAAAATATAATAAATAAAGAAGTATAGGTTGAATATGGATTTTTTCAAATATTTTATTGATTTTACCTTTTGATTCGAATGTTCGATTTTCATAAAGTCCTCTCCTATACCACCATGGAGCAATCTTTTCTACGGAATACTCTTGATGCCTCGCATATATTTGGTTATAAGCGAATGCGCTAAAAGCGAAAAGGAAAATGAAGAAACGAATGGAATTCATTTTTAGTTTTGAAGTTAGAAGAACTTTTTTACGATAACATTCGACTCTACGTCGTGACGAAAAGAAATAAATTATATGTTAGTTTATATACGTATGTGTACTACTATTGTTCGTTAAAGTGATGCTTTTACCTATAAAAAAAAAATTAAAATACATTAGCGTAGGCTTTACTACTTTCTTTACAATAAGATAATTTTTTTTAACAATAAACACTTTAATTAATTGTGTATTAACTATTTTTAATTATTTATACATATGGATATTGTTATACGACTGATATTATATTCAATTTATTTAACAGAGTTAACATTGCATTGATAAGCTTTAGAACAATTTAAAAAATAATTGAATAAAATCATGATAAATATAAAAATGAATTAAGCAAAACCCACCTGTTTTTTTATTTTATTCTAATATTTTATAGAATTTTATGAAAATGAAATTAACCTAAAAATTGCCACTTAAAATAAACTAAAATTACATTAATAATACATAACAGTTACAGTTTAACTCTAGTAAATTTAACAATTATTCACTACTAACACATACAAAATAAAACAGCGTGAAACTATAAATCAAACCGATGACTTAAAGTGTAAACCAGCTAACTCCAATAACGTAAATTTTACAGGAGATAATAAAATCTGGTTGGAGGGTGCAGAGTGACATTTAGAGATTTCACAAATATTAATAATAATAATGTTACAATTGAAAACTTGTACTATAATAAAATTATACCATATTTTTTAATATTTTCGCTGTTATAAAAAGAATCGGGAGTTCGGAAGTATATTTTCCATCATATTGATAGCACATTATGTATGCAAATCCCTAAACTCAATGAAAAATGGATATTTGTCAACAAGTTTACAGAAGTATATAGGAAAACAATTTTAAAATGAGTATGACCACCAGTTATAAAGGTTGGAGCAGAATGGAATACAATAGTTTTTAGGGTTACTAATCCCTAAATAAAGTTGCCAGTGTCGGAGTTATGGAGATTAACAGGTACTAATGAATTTGCAAGAAATGTAAGATGTTTATTTTATTGGTTATATATAAAATAATTTGTGGCCGTAACAGAGGCCGATTTGTAAAAAAATGAATATTATTTTAATCAAATTCCATTTCAGATTCACTGCTTTCTTCAGAATCTAAGGAATCTTCAACTCCAATGTTAATTATTACCGGTTCCAGCATTGCATCAGTCATGTTATCCAAATTGCACATTTTATTTTCTTCCTTGTGAGCATGACTAACAGCATTTTTCCAATTTCTGAAGTTACTTTTGATAAGGAATGTTCTAATAATTGTTGTAAGTCTTCTAATTTAAAAGTTTTGTTGTTGCGTCCGACTTCACCCTTTACTTGAGACCATATATTTTCTATCGGATTCAGATCACAGTGGTATGGTGGTAAACGTAAAATAATTACACCACGGTTTAATGCCATTTCATCAATTATATATTTTTTATAAGCTGCTTTATGTTGCCTTACAATAGGTAATAATTCCTTTTTTGTCGAATTCTCCTTGTACTCAATTACGTGTTTATCCAACCATTCGATTATCTCTCCTTTTTTCCATGACGTTGTTGACAATTATTCTTCTAGTCTTGAATGGTAACTAGCATTATCCATGACTATGACAGAACTTTTTGGAATTAAATCCAACATTTGCTCAAAATATTCTTCAAAATCGTCAGTAGTCATTTCCTCGTGGTAATCTTTGGTTGATTTTGAGGCAAAACTTAATAAACCACCATTGGCAAAACCGTATTCGTTTCCAATATGGGTTATTATGAGTCTGCGTCCTTTTCCAACGGGAATATTGTTTATTCCAGTAGATACACCTTCTATGAATGCCTGACGGGAACTTCGTATTTATATCAACCCATAGATATGGTACAGTATGACCTTCATTTAGCAGAGTCTCGTCCAAATAAAAATCGTTTTCCCTTCTTCTCGGTACTTTTTAATAGTCCTTAGATAATCTCGTCTCCAACATACAATGTAATCTTTTTCAATTAAAACCGATTTTTTTCTATTCTTTTGCCAACGAAATCCCATCTCTCTCAATAGTCCCCATAATTTCTTGTTGCTTATGATTGGTAAGTCTTCGTTTTCTCTAATTAATGTTTGGATTTTGTCCAATGTTGGAAATTCTTTGTTAAAAAAAAAAAGAGTGGACGCTGCGTCTTATCATGTTTTATGTATTTCTTCAATTTCCAAGGGTTTACTCCCTCCACTCTTCTTGGGAGATGAAACAGTTCCTCCTTTTCTTTCGTTTAGGAATCTATAAATTGTTGCTTCTCCAACCCCTGTCATATATGAATACGTGTTAACGATTTCACGAACATTACTTAAAGGGCGTTGATGTACAAGTGCATCGTGTACATTTAATATTATATTTTTCTGTCTTAGACTGAAGGCACCTTTAAAACTACACTTAACCGGGATAAAACCTGTTGTCGTCATTTTTAAATGCAAATAACAAAATATCGACACCAAAAACGTAGGTAGGTAAGACATGAACAATGTACATCTACAAACTAAATGGAAGATGCAAACAATTTCTAATTTATATTATTGGCATAAGCTGTAATGTGGCATAAAAACTACTTTGTAGTGTGGCAAAAAACTATCATTAGTGAAGTCTTATCAGTAATTCCAGGTAATCGTTTAAAGAAGGTATTCTTTTTGTGTCAGGCGATAACTTATATAGAAAACAATAATCGCCTTTAAATTACTGTTTAGATGAATTTATTTCGTGAAACATTGAATTCTCTCGTTAATCACCCGTGTATAATTAACAATAATCGTGTGGCATATATACCGACGTTTTTTACGCACAAAAAAGGTATAGTGAGATTAGTGGTCACTTATTTTACAGAAGATTTTTTAAAAGATAATGAATTGTTGACGGCATCTTAAAATATTAATTTTTTTATTTATTTCAAAACAAGTATAGGGCGATGCCTATGGTTTTTTGACCTGTTGAGGATTTGCATACATAATGTGCTATCAATATGATGGAAAAGGACTATAACTGTTTTACTTGAAAAGAAAACAATTTTTTTTGGGAGTTAGACAGTTTTTATTTTAATCCTGCACAATCATAACAAACTAGAAAATAGTGAAACAAAACAGTTTTTTCTAAAATCTAATGCATAAAACTAATAATTGACAAAGAAAAATAATGATTAATTTTCAAATGGAATATTATCATAGTACTCGTGATAATCGGAAGGGATTACTTTTTTTAATTCTTGTAAATCCTCGAACTTTTTCTTTTTTATTTTACATCGGGTTGCATATAAGCCTGACAGTTCATTTCAAAGTTTTGTCGTAACTTTATTATCTTTTTTTGTGATTCACCCCAGAATCTTAATTTATAATAAATATTTCCATCGGGATTATGTTGCAGGGCACGCAAATCTGTAACCTAAAAAGAAAATTCATCACACTAAAAATATACAACGCATAATTTAAACATACCTTGGGGTCACCTTTCATCTTTCCAGGTCTTATTGACTTAAAAAAATCACATCTTTGAAGTTATTAAAAAAGTCATGGGTTAGATAATGGACACTATAAGGCTCAGGATTTTTTTTAGCTGTTTGGCATACTTCAATATACTCAGCAGAACCATTGATTATTTTATTCTTTAACCTTTTTTCAATAGATGCGTGCATATTGTCAGCTTCCATTTGAGTATGGCCAACTTCCAAGAACTTTTGTTCTATTATTACATTATTTGTTATGGCTAAATTTAATAACGCATTGCTCATGATTGCATTTATGTGTTCTAAGTGCATCCGTCACTATAGAGTATAACTTTTTTACTTTCATTTGTATTTTCTCCTTTTAATGCTGGTATTACTTCGTCGAATAGAAATTTAACCACAATTGTGACGAATTATTTGGCATTGAGACCTCCTTCTGATTCATTCCATAAATAGCTTGTTCCTTGTAGAGTTTTGAAGTTACATAAACAAGAATTGTGGACGTAGAGTTTGGTGCTATAATATAGACTGGAAACATTAGAACGTGGTGCTAACATGACTGTCTGTAAGTCCATTGTAAATACATATTTTTCTGGCATTTGACAGAGTGTACCATAATCGGGTTAGAGAAATTTTATTAAATAAAAACATAGACAGTAGAGACATTAGAATCATCTGTAACCTCTATTGGAATCAAACAGCAAAAGTGAAAGTTGAAAACGAACTGACCGAAGATATCCCGATTCGCCGTGGGGTCCGCAAAGAGTGTATTTTATCACCCTTGTTATTTAATTTATACGGTGAAGCCATCTCAGAATTAGCGCTTGCCGAGATCAGTGAGGGCCTTATAATAAACGGTGAGCCACTTAATAACATAAGATATGCTGACGACACCGTCCTTCTGGCAGGAACACTAGAAGAACTGCAACACCTTGCTGAACAACTAAATATATATTGCAACGATTATGGACTAAAAATTAATTTGAAGAAAACCAAGTTCATGATATTTACAAAAGCACAAAACATCGAAGTTAAGCTAGTACTAGATAATACAGAAATTGAACAAATATCCTCGTACAAATACCTTGGAGCATGGATCACAGAAGATACTAATCAGACAAAAGAAATAAGATGCCGCATTGATATTGCACGGTCAACTTTTAATAGAATGAGAAAACTTTTTTGTAATCGCGATATCAATATATCGCTCCGGATAAGAATGCTTCGATGTTATATTTTTTCTACCCTTTTGTATGAAGTTGAAGCTTGGACACTTAAAACACCTAACATTAAAAACCTAGAAGCATTCGAAATGTGGTATAACCGACGTATTTTGAAAATATCATGGATGGATCGCAAAACAAACGAACAAGTTCTCGAACAACTAGGAAAGTTTTACATTTCATAAAAATCAGGAAATTGAAATACTTGGGGCATATCATGAGAGGTGAAAAATACGAAATACTAAGGAATATAATGCAGGGTAAAATCAAAGGTAGAAGAAGCATAGGAAGACGTAAAATCTCGTGGCTACGCACTCTCCGTGAATGGTTTGGATGCAGTTCAATTGATTTATTCAGACGCGTAACCAGC